ATGGGTTGGTTGAACTTGACTCATCCAATAGTCACCACTACAGCTAACGTGTGTGGGGAAATGCCTATATGCGACTTCAGAACCATACTTCTATCTAGCGAGTTGCCCAATACTGACACAATGTGCTAGTTTCTGTTCAAAACAAATAACAAAATATGTTTAATTATACATACTTTATGTATCTGTACATAACAAAAGTTTGAGTGATGCGAATTGATCCACAAACTCAGGAAGGAAATTTAGTATATGTTAATAGAAAACAGAGAGACTCTTCATTGCGCAGGGCGGGGGGGGGGGTGTCTTCCCTCCTCCTTAAATTTCCAAAAGACCTGGAAACACAGTTCCCTATGAGGAGTTACAGCAGGGAGATAGTTAAAACACTCGGAGGTCCTGACCTGGAATTTCAGGAATCACGTACGGCCATTGCTCTCATCGCCACACGGGGGCACTGTTAACAAATGGTCCTGCCCCCCGGGGTGCACTGAGCCGAAGGGTTAGTTCTCTGCTTGCTGATCAGATCCTGCCCAGGCTCCAGACCTTTGAGTGAGGACCATCTCACTACTCAGGCTGACCAAGCTCAGGCAAGGGAGGCTCTTTATCAGGTTCCGTGGGATACAGTGCCTGGTGCTTGACTCAGTCTGACTGCATCGCCAATTCTTGCCTTCCCAACAACAGAGCTCCATGGCTACCCTCCGAGAATATCCTCAAGAGGGAGCTACAGTCCCAAGGATGATCAAGGTGATCTGCGGAACCTCTGTCACCAGGGCAGAAATTCAGGCACAGTAGGATTATTCAAATCTGCAGTGGGACGGCTCCTCCAACAGGAATCATAATTTAATTCGATACTTGGGATTGCCTGGGTGATCTCAGCTCAGATCTTGGTCTCGGGGTCAGGAGTTCAAGCCCCATGTTAGGCTCTGCACTGGGCGTGAAGCCTACTTAAGAAAAAAGAAAAGGTATTTGTGTTAGGTCAGAGCAAGCCCATTTTAGATACTTTGGTTCAAATGAAAACCACTGGGAGAAATCCTGGGGGAAGGAGTGGGGAAAGAAGGGTGAAGAAGGAGTATGGTCATTTAGCATTTGTTAGCTTATGAAAGTACTCACTGTGGAAATCGGGCAGTACCTTAACCTTTATGATCTTCCGGTTTCCTCGCCTATAATAGTGGGTGATACTAGCACCGACTTCACGAAAATGGTGTAGTAACTAACGGGGACGATTCATGGAAAGTGCCTAGCACGGTGCCTTGCACTCATAAATAATAAATAACAGCTAGAACTATCATTACCATTATTTCACTACCGTGTTGTGTTCACCGCCCTATCCCAGCACCTGGAGCGGCCCCTAGTGTACACGAGGCCCTCAGTAAAGCTGTGTGGCCTGAATAACGGTCTTGCCTCTCAGCGATAACCTACCGCACTGAGTCCCCAGGTTGCTGGGGTGGGGTGGGGGGTCTGATGGCGGAAGGGGTGGAACACAGCACACCTGCAGGCAGGGGTGTTCTCACCCAGGCTCCCAGCCAGGCCCTCTGCTCTTTCCTCCCTGTAAAGACAGAATGGGTTCAAGAACATCAGTCTGTGAGGTTTCTTGTTTGAACCACTTCTCTGGGATAGTTTAATGAAGAAATGCAAACAGCAGGTGAGGAAAATAAGTATCGGATATCAAGTCGACACAAATAGATACTAAGTTTTGTTTATGAAAATTGCCATTTGATGTACATATACTTCTGATCTCTATCAAAATTATGTTTGAATAAATTGAATCAAATACGAATAGGCAGGGGTCATGTGGGAGAGTATAGTCTGGATCCCATGTTTTTACCAGAAAGGGCACTGCTGGCAAATAATTGTCAGCACCGTTATGTACCCAACGCTAGGCAAGAAGCTGTTATATACTCTTTCGTTATGTAAGAATGAAAGGCCAAGCCCTTGCCCTCTGGTGGCTTATAATCTTGTTGAAGACTCAGAAGGCCCAGCCCTGGAAGTCCATGCTGGGGGCTGCTAAACTCAGGCCATCAGCAGGGGTGGGAGCTCCCTCAAAGTACTGCAGGGATGGGGAAAATCAAGAAAGGTGTGAGAAGGGTCCCGAGATCAGTTAGTAGATGCCAAGGAGTGAGGTCAAGAATGAGCAGAGAGTGGTCCTGATGGAGGTGAGAGTCTGTTTGAAAGAGATTTTCTAGAACAAAGGAGGGGAGCCCTGAAAGGCTGCTGGGCAGGGAAGGGACCTGTGAATTTGTCCTGATGTCTGACACATTTGCTTCCATTTTTGAGAGCAGATGCAAGTCTCCATGATGCTTAGAATCACTGTTGAGTTTTCCTGGTTTTCATTCAGCATAGAGGGCAGAGCTTGCTTGGGAGAGTTGGGATCCAATGATGGACAAAGATGAGAAAGTGCGGGGCACCTGGGTGGCTCAGTCGGTTAAGCATCTGACTTTGGCTCAGGTCATGATCTTGCAGTCCGTGAGTTCGAGCCCCATGTCGGGTTCTGTTGCTGACAGCTCAGAGCCTGGAGCCTGCGTCAGAATCAGTGTCTCCCTCTCTCTGCCCCTCCCCAACTTCTCTCAAAAATAAACATTAAAAAAAAAAAAGTTAAAAAAAAAAACCAAGGAGACTCTCCTAGGACTCTGAGTCACCGACCTCACCCTGTCAGAGAGGGAGAGAGCTAGTCCCGTTTGGTCTCAGAGAAAGGCCTTGCCCAGTGACCAGGGCCTCACGCTGCCCCGTCATGCTCTATGTGGATACAGCTCTGGCTCACTCACTTCATCTTCCATAAGGAGGAGGATGACAGAGTAATGTGACAAGTTCTAAGATGACATTTGTAGGGCACTGTGGACACACACAGGAAGGGGGGACAGGGCCTGAGAGAATTCCTGGAGGAAAACACACCTAACCTGAATCTGATAACTACATGTGATGAGGGCTGATGGCACTTAAACTCAAGACAGGCCAATTATTTCCGCAATAGTGGCTTCCTGGAGCCTGAGGAAGGGCTGTGTCACTTAGTCCCACCCTGACAAGCCCAGCTTTCTGCCTGGCCCTCCCTCTCAGTCATTCAACAAGTATTTGTGCAGCATCTGTTACGGGCCAGGACCTGGGCTAGGCTCCGGGCACACAGAGGCGAGAGAATAGAGACTTTTGTTAGGTGCCATTGAAGGAGAAACCCAGGACGGTATGAGAGAGTGTGTCCCGGACCCACAGGGACTGGGGCATAGAAGGCTTGGGTGATCACCGCCCCGCAGGGCAGAGGGCTTTGAAAGTCCCAACACCCGAGTCTGCTAGAATCAGGTTCACTTCCTTCAGTAGAGTTACACCCCCTGGGTGACTTACAGTTGGCCCTATGCTAGTTCATGAGCAGTCTTTGAGCCCCGTAGATGTAAGGCCCTGGAAGGTGTCCATGATAAGACTTGATCCCCACTCTCAGACACTTTTTAAAAAAGTTTTTATTTAGGGAAGCCTGGGTGGCTCAGTCGGTTTAGTGTCCAACTTTGGCTCAAGTCATGATCTTACAATTCATGAGTTCGAGCCCTGCGTCAGGCTCTGTGCTGACAGCTCAGAGCCTGGAGCCTGTTTCAGATTCTGTGTCTCCCCCTCTCTCTACCCCTTTCCAGCTCGGATTTTGTCTTTCTCTCAAAAATAAATAAAAACATTAAAAGATAAATAAATAAAAATAAAAGTTTTTATTTAAATTCCAGTTAGCTAACATACTATACACCCAGTGCTCATCACAAGAGCCCTTCTTAATCCCCATCACCTATGTCACCCATTCCCCTCCCCCACCTCCCTGTGGTAACCATCCGTTTCGTGTCTATAGGTAAGAATCTGTTTCTTAGTTTGCCCCTCTCTTTTTCCCTTTGCTTGTTTGTTTCTTAAATTCCACACATGAGTGAAATCATATGGCATCTGTCTTTCTCTAACTGACTGGTTTCACTTAGCATGATACTCACTAGATCCATCCATGTTGTTGCAAAGGGCAAGATGTCACTCTTCCTTGTGGCTGAGTACTATTCCATTGTGCATATACATGTACCACATCTTCTTTATCCATGCATCCATCAGTGGACATGGGGGCTTCTTCCATAATTTGACTATTGTAGATAACACTGCTCTAAACATCTGGTGCACCTATCCCTTTGAATTTGTATTTTTGTATTCTTTAGGTAAATACCTGGTAGTTTGATTGCTGGATTGTAGGGTCATTGGGCACTTTTTATAAGCCACGCCTAGCAGGTGTTTTTGGTATATTTTTTCTCATTTGGTGCTCACATATGATTAACCTCTAGGGACGGATATTTAAATTTCCATATGTGGAAACCATGACCCAGAGAGACCCCCTCCCCAACCATGAAGGGCCGAAGGCAAGACTGAACCCTGCTCCTAGTATATCCTTTTCAACGGCCACACTGCCTCCCCTCATAGTGCTTACAATCCCCTTTGAGGATGGGGGTAACACAATGGAGCCCATAATGGAAAGCCTTTCCTAACTGATATGTTCACTCTCCTCTTCTTCAGAAACATTTCCCTGAGCTGAGTGGGCACACTCCTAACAGCAGCCGGCGATTTGCGGTCCCGGGGAGCCGGGGGACCCCCAAGGCCGTGGGGAACAAGAACCAGGCGCCAGTGGCCCCGGAATGGAGCCCCAGGGCTAGTGCAGGTGGGAGGTGCCCATGCTGGGCTCAGGAGGCAGCAGGGTGCAGAGGCCTGCGGCCCCGCCCACATGGGCGCCACCGAAGAGCGCAGGGGTCCCAGGAGTTGGGCGGCGCCACTACTGGATTGGAAAGGGTGCCCGCTGCGTCTCTGCGAGGAGCCACGCTAGGCCATAGCGATGACTCGCGTTTGGGAGACCTCGGAGGCCATCCCACAGGGCAAAGAGAGGCCCTAGCCAATCCTCGTCCCCCAGGGCTGTTGCTGGCGATGTGACTCGTCCCCGTGGTCAGGACGGCGCAGACCCCAGGCAGGGTCGATTCGGGGAGGGTCTCACTCTGGGTCCGGCTCCACGCAGCACCATGAACAATAACTTCTGCCGGGCCCTGGTGGACCGGCGGGCCCTGGCGCCCCCCAGCTGCATGCAGTTGGGCGTCGTGCCCCCTCCGCGCCGGGCGCCCCTGCCCCCCGCCGAGACCCTGGGCAACGTGCCCTTGCTGCTGTACCCGGGCCCGGCCGAGCCGCAGTATTACGACGCCTACGCGGGCGTGTTCCCCTACGTGCCCTTCCCGGGTGCCTTCGGGGTGTACGACTACCCCTTCGAGCCCGCCTTCATCCAGAAGCGCAACGAGCGCGAACGGCAGCGGGTCAAGTGCGTCAACGAGGGCTACGCGCGCCTCCGCGGCCACCTCCCCGGCGCCCTGGCGGAGAAGCGGCTCAGCAAGGTGGAGACCCTGCGCGCCGCCATCCGCTACATCAAGTACCTACAGGAGCTGCTGAGCGCGGCCCCCGACGGCTCGCAGCCCGCGGGCTCCCCGCCCGACTGTCCGGGCGACGGCGAGGCCCGGGGGCCCGCCTCCCTGGTGCCCGAGTCGTCCGAGGCCTCCTGCTTCTCCTCCTCGCCTTTCTTTGAGTCGGAGGAATCCAGCCACTGATCAGAGATAGCGGGGTTGCCGCGGAGACCGGAGGGGCCCCGTCGGAACAGCGAGGGCGCCGAGGGGGTTGCGCGTGCGCACCTCGCCCGCTCCAGGCCGCCCGCCGTCGGTTTGGAAGAGCCATGCCCCTGCTGTCCACGAGGTGGCCTCACACACCTGCGTCCACTTTGGGAGCCGGCCTGCCAGCCCCGCCCCCCACCCCACCCGAGAGGAGCCCAGAGGCCGAGGCGGAGGCCAGACTGCTCTTCGCACGGGGCCTAGCTGGGACTTGGGAAGAAGCCATGGGCGTGCCTGGGTGGCGCCCTCTGGCTTCCTTGAGCGAGGGCGATTATCCAGCCGCACTCCTAACCCCCTGGTGTAGCCTTTTCATACTTTTCCCCCTTGTTGCGCGAGGACTGCGTTTCTTCCCCGTTCAGCCTGTATCCCTCTGTGGGCAGTGGTACCATCCGGCCCTGTGCTTGTACCAAGAGGCTAAATAAAAGATTTGTTGAGTTTTGCGATTCCAGCCCATTGTCTACCCCCACGTACTTTGGTGCCCCTTTCACATTATTATCGCAGCTCAGAGCACTTACCGTGGGCAGTGTGGGGTGTTCTGTTAGCTCATGCATCCAACTAACGTTGGCAGAGAGAGCTTAGTGTATTGTATACCAGGGACAGAATCCCTGAGGGGCCAGAGTCCCAGGCCTGAGACGCAAACCCAAGCCCACGTGCTGGAGGGCTTGGGGCAGAAGTGGACAAAGCACACAGCCTCTGCACGGTGTGGCAGGAGCTGTCCTTGAAACGTGCACGTTCAAGGTTCTCCCTGGGGAGCCTTCCACCCCAGTGTGGAGGGGTTAGCTTTCCCTGACATGGGGTGTGCATGGGGTGTGCATGGGGTGGGGGGAGGTCTTGGATGGAGCGCTAGCTGCCGGGACTGAGATGGGAGGGGGTGCAGTGTAGTTGTGCTGAACTAGGCCACCCAGCACCTTTTCTGGACAGTGCCGTGGGGCTAGGGAGCGGGGTGGGGGTGGGGTACTAATCTTGGCAGCAGGGAGCCAGTCAGAAGTTTGGGGCTCTCTACCCTGGGCCATCCCTTTCTTGAACACTCGACTGCCCCAACCTTGAAGCCTTCCATCCTGTCTCCCACAGACCCCATCCCAAGCCCATGTAAAAGTTCTTTCCTCCACCCCCCACCCCCCAACCTCCTCAGGGACGTACTGGGATGTCACTGGCTGGGCCGGGAAGGAATGACAGCTGCCTGGCCTCAGGAGCTCGGGCCAGGCAGCGGGGCGCCGAGTGGAGGCTAATTTTACTTGCCGGGAGCAGGGGGAGTAATCCCTGCCCACACCCACGGCTGGCTCAGCAGGGCACGCTCGGCCCAGCGGGCTCAGCCGGTCCAGTCCCCGAGGCTGGGGCGCTGGGGACACAGGGAGGAGCGGGCAGCGGGGTGGGGGAACCGGAGACCGCAGGACTGCTAGGGGAGCCATGGAGCCGTCCTCACCCCAGGATGAGGGCCTGAGGAAGAAACAGCCCAAGAAGCCCGGTCCTGAGATTCTGCCAAGGCCACCCCGGGCCCTGTTCTGCTTGACCCTGCAGAACCCCCTGAGGAAGGCCTGCATCAACATCGTAGAATGGAAGTATCCTTTAGGGTCCCAGGGCATCAGGGAGCATGTGTGATGTGGGAGAGGGAGGCAGGGTGTGGGCACAGGCCACAGACATTAGGGGTCAGGGAGACCGGGGACTTGGGGATGGGGTGAACTGCCGCAGAATGACACCAGGAGCCTCTGGGAAGGAGCCTTCGGCTGAGGGAGAAGGGAGCGGCAGAAGGAACTCAGGAGGCTCCTGAGGCCTGAGTGAACCGCCCAAGGCCCGGTGACAGCCTGGGAAGGAGGACCGACTGCAGCAGGCCGAGGGCTGGGGGAGGGGCGGTTCGCAGGTGTGCCCAAGTCGCATCGCCATGGGGCTCCCCTGGGGGGTGTGAAGCAACAGTCTCATTTTGATACAAGATAGGAGAGAACAAAGTGGCGGCCTCTGTAAGAAAATTCTCCCCCCTGGTGGGAGGGTGTGAAAGCGAAGAAATTGCTGAGCAAGGGGAGTCTGGCTGGGGATGGAATTGGGGGAGAAATGGTCTTGAACAAAAGGGGCTGCTGTGAGCAGCTCCCAGGCCGGCAACAGGCCTGGCAGTTTTAGCTCAGTCGTACCACCCTGGGGCCAGGGACTTGCGGTCCCATTCCTTGTTTGCAGTAGCTCTGAGAGGAAGGACGATGAAACTATCTGGGTTATTTGGGGAAGGGAGGAAGGGAGGAAGGGAGGAAGGGGGCTGGGGGGAGGGGCCACGTCAAGTGCCTCCTCAGAGAGAGGTCAGGAATATTTGAAATATTTCCGTAGGGTTCTGGAAGACTGGGCTCCCACCAGCTGTTCCCTAGAAGAAAGGAGAATGAGGGATAATTGGAAGGATAAGAAAAACATGGGGTCAGTTGGCATGGCTGGGGTCGGCGTCAGCGCGGCTCCCCACAGCTGCCCTGGTGACTGGAACCTCTCACGGCCTCTCCCTGAGGACTGCCTCCTGTGAGCTCGGTTTCCCCGGTGTGTTCTCCCTCCTCCAACCTCCGCTCCTCTGCTGGCCTCTGCCCTATGGCTAGCCTCTTCTCAAACACCAGAGGGAAGAGAGCGGGGTGGTCAGTCCAGACCTCCCCAGGCGTGCCTCCCGCCCCGCGGCCTGTCCCTACCTCCAGCACTCGCCACACACCTCCTTCCCTTGCCCTCAGCGCCTTCCACACCCGCTTTCCAATGGCTCAGTCTATCCGGGTGGTGGCGGGTGGCGTGCTGCTCACCCACAGAGGGATGGGCGTGGGGGTGCCCCCTGGAAAACGGCCGTGATGGGGAGGGAGGTGTGAGTGGGTGTGAGTGTGCGCACCAGCGCATGTGCACGGCTGCAGCGGGGTGGTTAGTTGGGTTATGCGGTCCTTCCTCAGGCTGGAAGGCTCAGGTGCCATCTCCGCAGCCTGCCCTTCCCCTGTCCTGCCCTGTGGATACTCAGCCCCCAGCCTCCCTTGCCGGTTCTCTGAGCAGCACCCGCAGGTTGTCCTCAGGCCAGACTCTCAGAAGGTCATGGCTCCTCAGGAGCAGGGCAGGTAGGGTCGGGGGATGGGAGTGGAGCATTAAGGCTCAACCAGAGCTTCGAGGTCCCAGCAGGTCTAAATGGAGGTCAGCTGCTCCTGAGGAGAAGCCGGCCCTTTCTACAACCTTCAGGAGATCAGGGAAGGAACAACACAGGCCCATCAGCCTGGCTTTACAATCATAGTCCAGACGGACCTTCAGCGCTCTCTTCCCCTCAACTGGGCCAATCCCACGCTGCACTCAGGGGCTCTCCTTAACCCTGGCCACAGACCCTTCGAGACAATCATCTTGCTCACCATCTTTGCCAACTGCGTGGCCCTGGCCGTGTACCTGCCCATGCCAGAAGATGACAACAACACTCTGAACCTTGGTCTGGTAAGATGGGTCTTCCCAACCCCCTCCCCTTCCTGTGGGCCTGCAGCCCCAGGCTCAGGTGGGCCCTCCTGGTGGTCCACATGCTGGTGGATGGTGCCAGAGCCTCCGTCTAGCTCCCAGCCACCTGCAGGCCTGGCTGAGTGACTTAATAGCTTTGCAGGGTAAACCTACTAATTCTGGATTCCAGCACCAAGCAAGTGCCCAGGCACGGTGCTAGGCATCTGAGGAGAGTAAGCTTCTAAGATCCTCCCAGCAACCCCATAAAGTAGTTCTACTTGACATATGTGGAAACTGAGGCATAGTAAGGTCAGCTCCTGAGCAATGGAGGCAGAAGCTAATTTCCCTTTCCTGGATATAATCCAGAAGAAACTTGCTTCATGGGAGAGTGGGATCTAGGAATCTCAAGAGAGCATGTTTTAGAACTCTAAACCACTTTCTCCTCACCCCTTCACCAGTATCAGGTGGACAGAGCCATAAAATGCCGGATCTGGAAGGAATTTTCCGGGATCAGGTTGTCCTTCCTCCCCCACACCTCACCGGTTTATGAATGAGTAAATGGAGCCCTATGGAGTGAAAGGGCTGATTTTACCCAACAGCTAGATAATAGTAGACATGGTTACCATTTATTATGTGCTTATTAGATGCCAGGCTCTATGCTAAATATTTTACATTATTGTCCTATTCTGCATAACTTTCCCTGTGAGGTAATACCATTAAGTCCATGTAAATGACAAGGAAACTGAGGCAGAGTTTTGGTAACTTGCTCAGGATCACCCCACATGCAGGGCCTGCCAGAGTGTCTCAAACTCAGGCCTCTCTGACCTGAGGACCTGCCTTTGTGACAGCTGTGTTGCTAATGTGATAACAGCATGATGACTTCGAGGGGAATCTGTCACAGAAACAGTGACGGTGCTCCCAGGCCCCCAAGGGACAATGGACCCACCATTTCAACAGACTTTTTCCTGCATTTATACAAGAGAGAGTTGGGGTGGGGGGCAATTAACATGCATCCAGGGCCTGAAAGAAAGGTATTTATCTTTGCCTGGCCTTTATGCCGGTTTCCATGGGAATCTATCTTGAGCTGGTGAGAAGCTGGGATTTTAAGTGTGTGCTTGGCTATAAACAGAAAAAACTCTGAGCTCCTGCATGTGGAAGGAGAGTGAGATGAGATGTGGGCAGGGCTGCCACTGATGCTGGGAGGGGCTTTCCATAAGGCAGGCCTAGTATCCAGTGTTCGGAATCTAGGAGGGCTCTGGGTCCACCCCACTCTTCAGAACTTCGTATTTTGGGGCCTTAGTTTTATTTCAACTCCTTAAGAAGCTGGTTACTTTCAAAAGAAATTGCCCCCTGGAGGGTATTAATTATGCCTTATTGGGTCTGTCGTCTTCCGTCTTGAAACCAAATGGCAGCCCTAAAAATTTCACATGGTGCTGTGTGCTTTCCCTTTAGCTTGTGGGTGGAGTTACAAGGCCTTGGGTAAGGTCTAGAGTGCCTAAACACAGGAGGATAAATTACCTGCAAGAGGA